ATGGCATCAAAGCAATCCTACGCATTTCCACTTTATCTGTTTTACAGTTTGTTTAAACAGAAGAGACGTCTTTTGCACCATCTATATTGTCCATGGCATAACCCCCCCCCCCCTTTGTGAAAAATAAGAATACAAAGAACATAACAGATGCCTTGTTGGTCTCCACAGTGACTTTCCCCTAGTGAGTCTTTAACAAGGCTCCAGATATTTAAAAAGAGTGCAGTTTTTCTTGACTAGGGCCAAGTCTTTTTGTGTGCATGGCAAAGAGCCACAGAAGCTGTGCTTTGTTCCATGAGCGCGGGACAAAATGATATGTGTCTTTCTCTGTGTGTGTGTGTCTGGTCCATGCTTTCTCAGAAAACATTTGCATGCCTGATAAACAGCAGCATTTAGAAACTTACTTGCCTTTGTTGTAGAAAAAGGAGAAATAAATATCATATCTTTAAACTAAACAGAATTTCATTCACTTTGAGTTTTAATCCTCTGATGTGAGTCACTGGGGACAGTAAGAAAAAAAACTCAAAACACCATAATTACAATATGCAAACTTTTTCCCCATTAGAAGCTAAACTTGACACCAATTAGATATGAAATTTGAGAAAATCTCTTATCATTATAATATGCTTTTGATAAGGGCCCACTAAACAATGAAACTTATCCCATGGTGGTTCAAAAAGGACTGATTACTGGCAAATTGTTCAATTGTTTTCCTTTCTGAGCTGAGTTTACATTCAAGACAAATTGTTGCTCCGAGGAAAGCATTTAGTTTTCTACTGACTCAGGAGGTATCTGCTGTTTTAAGAGAAATGTGCTCAGACACATTTTGGGCTTATTATCATGTCTCCAAAGTATTTTTCTTTTATTCAAAGAGTCAAACATTCAAAAAACACAGCAAAGGACTCTAAACAGCTTAATTAGCTTGAAGAGCCTCAGTGGCCTGCAGCATTGAAGCGTGTGTGTGTGTGTGTGTGTGTGTGTGTGTGATACTGTTAATGATGGCACTTAGGAGATCAGAGGAAGAATGGATGTATGGGATACACAAAATTAAAGGTGATAATGGAAAACACTCAACCATTTAAAGATGCGTCACTGCGACAGATGCTCGTTCAAAAAAGCCCAATCAACACAGACATCATATCACATCTCCTCTAAATACAGCCGCTCTTAAAAAGGGGCAAACACCAGCCATAAAACCCCTAATGACAACACTAATAAAACTACAAAGGCATGAAAGAGCCGGCCAAAGCCAGCAGTGAACGGCTGGCCAAAACTTCCTTCCTGCTTCTGTGTCTACTGAGGACAGAAGGAGGAAAGAGAGAGCGAAGGAGACCGGACAAATGTGTGTGTGTGTGAAACTTTTTATCTGCAGTCTACTTTCTGACTGCCTGAATAGTTGTTTCAGCATGAACACATCAGTTTGCCAATTGTTTATGTACTATGAACAGTGGATCACAGCCCCCACAACTTCATTTAACCCTTCAGAAGCTGGCAGCTTCATGTCTTTGATCCATATTCCAAAAGAGGCAAAAATGCAGGCACATTTTTATACATTTCATTCTCTAACTGAGAAATAAAATAAGTATTAGGACACTTAAGTAACATTTATTAATTTCAGTGAACTGCTAGAAAACAAAATGTCAAAGCAATTTTAAGATAAGCACAATTTACAAACAATTATTTTATAATACAAAGTCCAGCTGGTAAACATCATTGCAAATGGCAAACATTAAGCAAACATTAAACATTTATTGTCATAAATGACAATTCCATAATTGTCGATATGCTTTTTGTAGCCACTGT